AGACAGACAGACAGACAGACAGATAGATAGATAGATAGATAGATGATAAAGAACGAGAGGGAGAGAGAGAGAGCGAGAGACACAGATAGATAGACGGACGGATGGACGGACGGATAGATAGATAGCAGGTAGATTAATACCATGGTACATGTCTGTCATGGTATTATCATCTCATACTGTACCATGGTACTGGCACAGCTTGTTCAGGATCTCTGTTGTGTCCAATGAGCGCAGAGGGATTTCCCTCTTCACCAATACCGTGTGCGCTCCGGCACTCACAGCGTTAAGGCGAGCGCGCACATTGGCTTGACATTCCCCTCCCACGCGCCGGACGTCCTTTAAATGCTCGCGCTGTGCTTTAAATAGCAGGTGCGAGAAACTGTGTCCCTGCGTACACCCTTCAGACACCACCACCCCCATCATCATCGCCATCACCGCCGCAATGTCCACCGCCAGCGCCGAGACCACCGCGCAGCTGCCGCCGGCCGCGGGCAGGGTGTTCTTTCAGCCCGGCGTGGGCTGCGCCGGCTCCGGACCGATGCAGCGCGATGACCCGGTGCCGAAAAAACAGGGCAAAGTGACGGTGAAGTACGACAGAAAAGAGCTGCGGAAGAGACTCATACTGGAGGAATGGATCATTGAACAGCTGAGCGAACTTTACGACTGCGAGGTAAGACTGGACCCAAACCGGAACTGCATAAAGAGCCTTTTAATTTAGATAATTATTGATCATTAGATTTTTTTTATTTAATTGTGTTTTATTTTAGTTTGTTGTGTATAGTTTCAATATTTTTTTATTTTAGATTTAGATTGTAACATACATAAATAAATAAAAATACTAATACATTTTCGTTGCAAAAATATAAATGACTGTTACTATATTATTTTTATTTTTAAATAAAAAATACACTGATTTATATCGTAATATATTATGAATCATATACTTTGATTCGTTTAATTATTACAGTACAGGCAAGTGTTATCTATTCTACTGTATTTATACAAAAAGAAAATACAGTTTGGACCTTTTGTATGAATCTATCTTTTAGAAATACAACAATATAGATTAATAATATCTGCCAACATGTCACTTATCAGCCAGGCAAAATCATCAGTTATTTTCAGCTTTTGTACAGTTAATTTATTACTCTTCTTGGAGTACTTGAGGTTAAGTGGCTTGATCAAGGGCACAATGGTGATGCAGTAGAATATGAATCAGCTCTTGTGGGGTTTTGACCTAAAAGGTCACAAACCAAGATTTTTAACCTCAAAGCCATTCCCTCGGGTTTATAGGTTGATGAATTGGTCTTCTTTGTGTGACCTACATTTAGCTGCGATGTAATGCATAACGCTACAGCTATAGACATCTTTAAAGTGTGGCATCCTTCGGCATCAGTGCTCATTTGAAGATGACCAAACGTCATTCTGCTGACCTCTGTGAGGTGTCTTATTGCTCTGTACAGTGTGCTGGTCTCTTTTGTTCTTTCTCTAGCCGTATCTCTCAATGTTTCTGTTCTGCAGCAGCTTGCTTTTTTTCTGCTGATGCTGTGTTGGACCCAGAGAGACAAGAAAGAGAGAAACGACTAGTTGACCCGGTTAAAAGGATTCTGTGCTTCCAAAGTCTGATTAAAAACCAGGAAATTTGATATTTTTATAAGCACAAATTCCTTAGATCAAAACAAACTTGAAAAAAATTTCTTATTCTTTATACGTATATATCAATGTGCAAATGTATATTGTCTTTGTAAGTGAATATAAATGAATATAAAAATATATTTATACAAATTAAGTACTTTTTACTGTATTTTATAATAACATTTTGGACCTTTTGTGTGTTAATCAAAACATCAAATAGGATGCTGTTTACAAGCTCAAGCATCTAATCAGATTAAACGTGAGCTCATAAAGAGGTGTTTACTTGGGTGTATTTAACGACCCATCACATTTACACTAGAACCAAGAGGAGGAAGTCACATGTAGCCAATAACCGTTCACAGCTCAATGTCTGGGCGCCCATTAACAGCAGCTTATCAAAGGCAATAGACTTCATGTAAACGACAGGATTCTGAATTGGACCGTATAGCTGCACTAATAAACTCTGTGAAAAATAATCTTCAGCAATGCAATTAGAGCTTTATTAAAAGACTAGTATAATAGCAAGATTGTTGCATTTGTCTGCACTGTTGAGCTAAGTTGCAAGATAAGTGTTTTATGCTTACCAAGGCTGCATTTATTTGATCAAAAATACAGTAAAAACCACAAAAATGTGAAATATTATTACAATTTGAAATAACTGTTTTCTATTTGAATAGATTTTGAAATGTAATTTATTCCTGTGATGCAAAGCTGCATTCTCAGCTGCATCATTACTCCAGTCTTCAGTGTCACATGATCCTTCAGAAATCAAATAGCTGATTTGGCATGTTTGTTTGTTTATTCAGTATTACTTAAATATGTCTCTCACACTGCTTAATGAGTTCAGGGAAAGTGTTTAGCAGGTTAGAATGTAAACAGACAGTTGCTGGCGGGATTTGCGTGCCGCTCACTAACAGCGTCCCCATTGTGCAATATGACCTTTAGGGTTATTAAGGTGTAGACAGACCTACTTAAGGAAGAGTAGGTCAGTATGGGATTACTTGCAGACAGTGAAGGTTTTCTGCCTCTAGAGAGGTTTGACAGAATTGAACTATTTCTAACTGAACCCCGAGACCTGAAACTTACTCTACATGAATGCACATGCTAGCTGCTTGATTGTATGCCTTGTTGCATTCCCAAATGGCAAAATACAATAATGCAATGCAAGTGCGCAGTTAATATTTTGAATATTTTAGATTTTATTGTTAGACTTTCTGTCTTGACTTTATTTATAGCTAAAGTTTTAGTAATTTTGTTGTTTTTGACATTTTTTTAATGTCTATATAGTTTATATTTTATGCATTCCTTTTAGTTGTAGATTTAGTACTTAGTTTAATTGTATTTCATTTAATGTTTATTTCAAGTAACCTTTTATACATGGTTTTAGTTTTAGTTTTACTATAATAACCCTAACTGGCACCAGCCTTGCCAACAAGAGCTGGCTACACATTACAGCTCTAACTTCAATTCTACTTCTGATTAAATTACTTGCAATTCAAATAAATATTCTGGCATTATGACTTTTTTAAAAATCACTCTATAATGGGATAAATATTTGAAAACCTTGTATTGTTCAAACATGTTTTTTATAAAGTCTGTTGCATTTGGTTTTGGGTTTGAATGTTACAAACTCAAAGCATTTTTAGAAAAGAAACGGAAAAAACAGAAGCATGATATTTAAATCATAATCAGGGTTATAGTTAACTAAAACTAAAACCATAAAATATTTTTGTTACTTAAAATAACAGGCTTTAACTGATATAAAACATAAATATTTAAATAAAACTTTATTTCAGATAGTTAGTGGATGAACTATAATAAGTAAAACTGAAATTAAAAAAATGAATAATATAAACATTTAATTAATAATATAGACATATATAAAAAAAGAAAAAAAAAGACAAGAATGCACAACTAAATTACTAAAACTTTAACTAAATTTAAAATGAAAACGGAAAATATCAAAATTAAAACCTGAACAATATAATTTGGTTTAATGGTAAACCATTTGAAGGTTGCTCTGTTGCCTCCTTGAGTACAAGTATTAAGTGTTTACAGTGCTTGCAAAGCATTAGCCAATTATTGAGTCTTTGAGCTTAAACTGGCTTGCTTTATAACATCACGTGTCTATGACATCACAGAGCTGAACTCCGACCTCAGCTGATCAGAATGAGTGACAGCACAGCATGGATTAGATTAATTTGTCATATAGCGAGCGAGAAAAAAATGGTGTAACGTTATCAGGATATTCAGAGGTTAATTTCCATGACTTCTGGGAGAAGAGGATTGGGGGAAAGGAATTAGAACAGAAGATGAGAGGAAAGTAATGGAAAGGCAGAGGATGGACACATTCAATAGAATTAGAATAGAATATGTTTAGCAGACGATAAAAGAAAGGAAAAACAGGCAATTTGATGGTATAAAATTACAGAGATTTTTGGAATGGGAGTTGAATCAATTTCTGCTTTGAGTAAAACAGCATGTCATCTCATACCTCATACACACACTAACAACCCTCTGAGAAACACTAAAGGTGTGTCTGTGTGTGTGTGTGTGTGTGTGTGTGTGTGTGTGTGTATTTTCACAGCGTGATCTCTGCTTTCTCAGCAGCCTCATCTGTGCTTACAAGGCTTACGAAGAGCAAATGTAGGCCGCTTTTTGTTGCGATTTGCATGTGTGTCAGAGCTCTGATGGGCTTTGTCTTAGTAAAACAGGTCCATCTGGAGTTCATTAGCGTATTGAACGTGTGGATGAGGTGGTTACGTGCAAGCTAATGATGGAGTCCTCAAATCAATGACGGTCACAAACCGCTGCCTAAGCTGTTTTCTGCTGAGGATGCTGTCTATTTTGGGCAGCGTGCAGCGGTTTGCAAGCGTGCAGATTCTCTTTGTGTGATCAAGGATGAATAGTGCTGTGATAGGATGTGAAAGCTAATTCAGTAGCACTGCTGTACTAAAAACTAATCCTAAATATTCAGATTAGCAGGCAATAAATGTGCATTTTCCATTTTTATGGCTGATTTTTAAACTCTTTTCTCAAAATATGTGGTTACAACCTTACAAAGAAGATGCAAAGTGCGTATTATTTCAACTTTAACTTCAGTTATACTTCTAATTAAATTACTTGCAATGTAAATACATTTTATGGTATTACGACTCAGTTTTAGTATACTTTTTAATTAATAATGGGGGGAAATAATTGAAAACCCATGATTCTGTGTTGTTTAAAAGAAAGCCTGTTACATTCTGTTTTGGGTTTACAAAGTTAAAGATTTTAGAAAAGAAAAAAAAAAGTTAAAGCATGATATTTTAATTGTAATCAGGGTTATTATAGTTAACTAAAAAAAAAAAAAATTTAAATAATAAAAAAAAAAAACTGTAAATTATTTTATTTCAGCTAGTTAGTTTAAATGGATGAACTAAAATAACTAAAATTTAAACTGAAATAAAAAATTAAAAAAGCAATACTAATAAAAATGACAAGAACACGCAACAAAACCTTAACTAAAATTCAATTGAAAACAGAAAATCTAAAAATGAAAACTAATTTAAAATATTAATAAAAGCTATAGACATATTTAAAAAAAAAAAAACTAATAAAAACGAGAAGAACACAACAAAATAGCTAAAACTTTCAAATTAAAATGACAAAAATAGAAATATTAAGACTTTAAAAATATTAATAAAAACAATATAGACATTAAAAAATGACAAAGCAAAATTACTAAACCTAACTAAAATTTAAATGAGAACAGAAAATATAAAAATGAAACCTAATTCAAAATATGAATAACAACTATAATAATATCGTAGAAATTATTTTCCCCCATATATAACCCATTAAAATGCAATGGTGATGAGGGACATGATAAATGAATAAAAGAAGTAAATAATAATGTATTATTTTAATTTTTCATATTTTCTTTCATTGTGCACTAAATGGTGTAATCTGTCAAAAAAACAAATAGTTTCCTGAAAATAGCAGCTAAACACACTCTGCATACTGACACACAGCACAGCATAAAACACTGTGAGA